TGCATCGATGCACAAGAACGAACCAAGCAAAAAGAGAAGCCAGCGTCCTAACCGTCCTCACGGAGAAGAATCTCCTATCGTTGCTCCCCTATTAGGTGAGTCTGAGGGCACCGGCACGCCATTCGTTCTGTCTGAGCCATAACTGCTCGCCGGCAATCGCTCCAAATGACGAATGTTCAATGAAATTCGGAGGCCAGTAACTCCATAGTTCATCGCAAGGCTAATGAAAAGTGCATTCAACTTTGTCTCTGGAAACCCATTTTATTGTAGTTATCTGTTGCCTTTGGGCTTACTCGGCTACGATGGCGCGCGCTTCGCGCCTTCAGGAGCTAAGCTGCTTGCTGGCCGTCTTGTCATCGCCGCCCCCCATCCGTCTCTGTCTCAGCAGGCGTCCCTCCCGCCGGGTCGGACCTGTCGCCTGTGCCGGCGGCGGCAGCCAATGGACCGGAGCCGCGGGACGCGCGCGGCCCGCCGGTAACGAGCCGGCGGCCCGCTGATGATAGGCCAGCGTCGCTGACAAATGGTCCGCGCCCCTTTGACGCCGTCGTCCGGCCCTCCCGCCGCCGCCGTGGGTTTTGGCCGGCGCCCGCCCGGGTCGCAGGCCGGCGTCGGTAAACAGAGACAACCTCCGGCGGCGGCCGTCCGGTCACCGCGGACGCGCGGTCCGCCGGCCTGACTTTTTCGTCAGCCCGCTGTCACCGTAACTCGGGCTGTCCGCTTTGACGGGTCGGCGTAAAAAGCGGCGACGCGTCGGCGGGGTCGGCGGCGGGCGGGGCGCGGCGCCCCATGGCGAGACGTCTGATCCGCTCCGGCGCCCCATGGCGGGGCGTCTGATCCGCGGCGCTGACCAGCGGTGCACGTCGGCCGGTGGCAGCCCCGCCTTCAGCCCCGCGAGACGGGTGAGACGCAGGAGGCGTTGCTGTCGACTATCCACCACCACCCGCTGATTCCCGCCACCTTGCATACGTCGGAGGGAGCGCCGGCTGCAGGTTGGGCAGAGGCGGCGCAAGCGGCGCCGACACGGCGGGCCGTCACGCCCTCCGTCGGACGAGTACGTCCGGCTCCAGCCTCACGGCAGTCCGGTGCTCGCCACCTCTAACCCCGCTCTCGCCCCGCCCCCACCCGGGGCTGGGAGCGCCCCTGCGCACGGCGCGCTCGCTCTTGCTGCGGAGCGGGCCTGACTCTGCGGCCGCGCCGCGGCGGCGCTGCTGTAGCGGCCACTTTTGCTTTCACCGTTGGCGGCGCGCGGCGGCTCAGTCGGGCCGAGGATGGTGCAGTGGAGGGGAGCGCTGTGCCGTAGCTGAGTCGACCGCACGCGCCGGAGGAGGGTGGACGTGTGGGCGGCGCTCAGAGCCACAGTCCTGCCGGTGACTGCTGCGGAACACCACCGCCCGACGGCAGGAGTGGGCGTCGGCAGCTGAACACGTCACCTCCCCACCGTAGCCGACCTTGACTCCGCTGACGTCATCATGCAGACTACACTGACCTCTCTGCTTTGGTAAGTGTTTCTAGGGACAGGCTTCTGCTGTTGTTGTGTTGGTCTAGCCAGCTGCAGCAACAACGGATCGGCGCAGAGTGGCCGGACGTCTGCTGTGCAGTGCGCGGCCTTTGTACCTGACTGTGACACGATCAAGTTCAAGCATTTCGCAATCCGAGTCGTGTCCGTCAGAGATCGCACCATTTCCGACGTGACTTGCCAAAACGGCATTCGCACCGTCGTCTGCGCGCCGGGCCCGTGGCGCGGCCCGGGTCTATCCACGACGGCGATGGCGTTGAACGTGCGTAGGAAAAGTGCAGCCGCAGGCACGGCGGCGGGCCGGCCGCCGTAACCTTGATCCTCCATGGCGCCGCAAATGGCTGCAGCGTGCGACCGGCGCCGCGGCGGTGGGAACAGCTCACCAAATTATGGCGCCGGCCGATCGGCCATGGACTTGGCCCGCCCGGTACCCTTGATCTGGTCTCGTTTTCGGCGGCGGCGGGCCGCGTGGCATTGTCGGCCGCAGGCGTGCCGCGAGACAGCGGCAGGTCGACCCCGGCCGTCGGACGCTCCGGCGAGGCGTGACTAGATGCCGGGAATGCACGCCGGCAGGGCACGTTCCATGCTGCATAGCAACGCCTCGTGGGGCGCGGCTCTATTCAGATGTCGGAGGAGGGGGTTAGAGGTGTTCCCTGTCATTCGACCGGTACATACTGCAATCTGATGAACGGATGGGATACCACAATGAGAAAAATTTTGATCAAAGCAAGAAAGATGATACACTGTGTAAGCAATAATATGCACACCGTGATAAATGAGCTTATTGACTAAAGTAAGCTTTATCTTTTGCAGCTGCACGCTCACTACGCATGTCAGTGAAGCTATTTACTTAGTCCTGCTACCAACGTCGACCTTGGACATTTTCGTACCTTGCAAGTGCGAATCCGTGTTCGTGTCTCTGACTGACTCACTTCACCACCTGCCACTCTCCATTCTTCTCTGCACCGCATCCTCTTAGGAAGTGACGCAAGCCAAACCTGAAACACAGGCGCGATAAGAGCTGTTCAGAATGGGCGTGTTCCCACGATGCCGGCGATCTAGCTTTGTTCGTTGTCAGACGGACATGGCTGATGAGCGGCTGTGGTGGAGCGCGACTGAATGCCAGGAATACGCTCCACGAGCCCATGCCCGGCACTGCGCAGTAATTCTGGCACAGGCGTCATGGTCAGGCGTCAGGCGTCTTCCTGCACAGGCGTCATGGTCAGGCGTCAGGCGTCTTCCTGCACAGGCGTCATGGTCAGGCGTCAGGCGTCTTCCTGCACAGGCGTCATGGTCAGGCGTCAGGCGTCTTCCTGCACAGGCGTCATGATCAGGCGTCAGGCGTCTTCCTGCACAGGCGTCATGGTCAGGCGTCAGGCGTCTTCCTGCACAGGCGTCATGGTCAGGCGTCAGGCGTCTTCCTGCACAGGCGTCATGGTCTTGCCGACCCTTCAACAGGAGGTGACCTCCGAAGACAAACCGTGGCTGCGTAAGTCTGGTCAAATCTGGAAATGCGATAAGGCTTGACATTTGTTCTAGCAATCTCAGCAAGAGTATGATAGACACATACTTACAGAAAAGGTACGCGTCAGTTCTTGATCATATATCGACGAAGGCCTTTATGAATCAAGTGGAATTAGACAGAGCAAAGTGTCGACAACATTTCCAGTCCCTTCTGGAAAAAGCATATTGCATCTCTTAGAGTACATCATGTGTGTGACTGAGACGCATCTGCTATATCGATCCCTATATGCGCAGAGATTTAGTGAGAAAATGGCGTGATTCAGTGATCGCACAATCTGCAACTCATTGGTATCATGGTGCCACCGCATGCAAAGTGCACAACTGATTTCCAGAAGCACAAAAGGCCACGTTAGAATTGCGTCTTGATCAGACGGCTTTGGTCTCTATGAGTAAACAGTAAAATGGCCGTGTAGAAATGCCTGCAATCAGGCTGTCGGTGTGCACGTTGTAGCTCATTCGACAGAGCTAACTGGAACCTATCATATGCAAAGTTTCCAGCCATTTCCCGCAGCGGGCTTGCCGTTACGAGTGAATCACACAGATCTAGACAATGCACCTAACAAGTGTCCAGGTAGTGTCCAGATGCATTCATCCAACCATTCAACCCAGCATTCACGTCAGCCCGACCCGTCTGGATCAGGACGATTGCTCATCCTTTTTGAAGATTCTGAAACACATCGATACCAAACTCTTCATAGAACTCCGCCGCTCTACGCTTGGCTGCTGTGATCATATTTATGTTGTCGTGGCCACGAACTGTGCTTTATTGTCAGTATCGTTCTTGACATAGTTTGAAGGTCAGGGTAGCGTCATCCACGTGCTTGACTCCGGACACAAATTCCAGTTGTAAAGGCATCAACAAAGAGGCCAAGGCCAGCGATGCAGCCTGGCCTCACTCTCGTGCTGCACGCAGTTCCTACTTTTGATATATTTTGGGTGCGCTAAAACCATGCGTGCCTTTCACTAATTTGCAGCCCTGGTTCGGAAGGCCTCAGCATGAGCAATGACTGATAGATACCCACTTTGATATTGCCTCGTGTTAGCCCATCTTGTGAGCCTTTGGTTTTATGCATTGTTCTATAGGCGTTGGTTTGACATGTATGCATAGCGGCGCCGACTACACATACCCGAATATACATCAATGCAACTAAAAAAATCGTACCCATGAATACAACATATAACGATATCGCTGCATTGAAATCAATACAACATTGGAACGGCCCACACGGGTGAGTTTGTGGACAGAGTACCGAACCAATTTCTGCGTGTTGTTTTCCAACCGAACCCACGAGTCGGGTAGAGCGATTACGATTCAAGGGACGACTCCCCGCCTCGTGACGTAGCGAGCCTCAGCTGCGGAAAGTCTTCTTGCGCTGTGCGATGCCTCGACACGCAGCAGCGTGCCAGCCTTTGGCCCTCTGCTGCCGGTTACCGTCAGACATTTCCACGCGGGTTTCAAGCTCTTGAAGACGAGTTTGCTAGCGATGATCTTGGACGCCGTCGTCCGATGCGTGTTATGCAATTGGTTTATTTGACTTCACCGAACTATAAGCATCAGCATAACTAAATGTTTGGCGGCCCGTAGGCGCTGCCCCTGTTTTCCTTCCCTCCAGGTGGCCTATGAGCCCTGCCCCGTGCTCACAGTGTTCCCAGGAGACCGGTGGCCCCTGCCCCGTGCTCCTCGTGTTCCCAGGTCGGCTGCCGGCGGCCGTTGCTCGTGTTCCCCGTAGCCCGTCATCCAAGGCGGCCGGCCGTTTGCCGCTTTTATGGCGGCCGTCGCGCATCCGGTGCGGCGCCGGGTTCTCAGGGCCGCGTCCAGTGAGTGACCGGCGTGCGAGCTCGGCGGGGTCGCGGCCGGTCAGAGCGGGTCACGGCTGCCGGCGGCCGGGGTCACGTGCCGGCGGCGCGGCGCGCTGACGGGTTGCAGCCCACGGCCGCGCTGGGAGCCGCCCGCCGTCAGTGACCCCGCCCTGACCCGGCTTGCAGGGCACCGCCCGTCAGGGTCACGGGGGACTGACCGGGCGGGCAGCGCGTGCCCGTGTCGCCGCTGAACCGTCCCGAAGCCATTCTCCACGGCGCATTGTACTGACTCACTGCGTATAATTGACACTCGGGAGGGGCAAGGGCCTTACGAGGACCTGCCGTTGTGGATGGCGGCGCGCCGATACGCGGACACGTCTGCCTAGATGCTAACGGTGTCTCTCGAAGATGTGTCTCATATGTCCGTCCCTCCTTTCAGGTCGTTGCCACCTCGGCCGTCGCCAGAGCTCAGAATCGTAAGTTTTCCGTTCGCCGCACAGTCTTTGATGTCGAATCTAATGAGCGCCGCTGACTGGAATGCGGCCTTGTCGGTTTGGCCACCTGCATCCACTTCCGGAAAGACATTCGGCTAGTGACAGATGGTACTGCCTTTCTCACGGAATTTTCAAGCCACTGGAGCGTGAGATCAAACTGTACCGTGATCTTCTCCTTCGTTGATTGGGAATGAGCTGCATACTACGGGATCCCAAATTCATCACATAGCCTGTAGATTGTGCATGAAGCGTATGATTGTTTCAGCATATAGTTTCTGCGTTCATAAAACAACTTGTAGATGGTTTGTGTTCACCCTTCATCCGACTTACGCACATTGCAGTACAAATTGTGCCGACGCGTGGCTCACCGTTTTTTCGGGGTTTGCGATTTCAGCACCTCTGCCCGTCAAAAGTCCTGTCACGGACGTGCGGATTGAGTGCAACAGCAACGACATCATCGTGTCCATCTTCACCAGCAACGCCTTCAACGGCATGATATACCCCAAGGGCCTCTCGAAGAACTCGTCTTGCATGACTGAGTACACGTCCAAGGCAGCCCCGGTTCAGTACAAGCTGCCGCTCCGCAGCTGTAACACCATGAGTATTGAAGAGGTGAGTGAGCCCGAAGGCCTGGTGGTGGACCAACCGCACATTCACAACACTGGATGGCTGGATGGGTCCATGCATAAATTAATTCATGTGATGCAATTTTGGTTTCCTGAATATATACATGGAACACTTAGGTGCGAACGTGAGATATTGCTGGACGTTAAAGGGCTCCTGATGCTGAGAAGGTTCTCAAGGGCGGGTTCAGTATAATTACTATGCATATTCTCTACCATCTTTGCTAGTAAAATCTTGAATAATTCCGATCTGTTTTGTTGTTTCCTGCAATAATCGAGATCTCTTCGTGTTAAAAGGTGCTGCCATTATGCATTAGTTCATAAAAGGCGGCGTTTCTTGTCCTCGAACTTATCTCGCTCAAAATAATCATATTACATGACCACCACCAAGGCATTTGGGCACATACGCACCACATAAACACATTCACACACGCATACAGGTGAGTGAACGCTTAGCATTTAGAAGCGACGGCCAGTGCAAAAACTGCCGGAGGTATAATCGATCTCCTGCAAAAACGTTCGTGGTATTCCTGGCTCGGCGAAGACCAAGGTCAACGTGCTATGGGGTGACGCTCGGGTGCCCGCTGTTAGCCCCCGTGACGCCGATGCTGGCGCGCCCAGAACACTGAAGCCTGCGCCTGTCCCGCAGAAACAAACTATTTCTGCCTACCTTGATTCTCGCCGTCAGCTTTTCCCTATTTGTAAAAAAAAGTCATTTAAAACATTTTGTGTTTATGGCGGCGATATGCAGGCGGTTCGTGCTTAACGAGAAATAAATACCGCATTCATGCGCCGCTACACACACTCGCACACACACACACACACACACACACACACACACACACACACACACACACACACACACACACACACACACACCCACACACACACACACACACACACACACACACACCACACACACACACACACACACACACACACACACACACACACACACACACACACTACACACACACATACACACAACACACACATACACACACACACCACATACACACACACACACACATATATATATATATATATATATATATATATATATATATATATATATATATATATATATATATATGTGCGTGGGCGTGTGGGTGTGGGTGTGTATGAGTATATTTGCACAGCGTATTTATATATTTGCACTTCACATGAGTCCTTGGCCAGAAAGGGCTGTTTGAAAATTAAGTTAAGTTCTTGTGTTTCAAGTGGATAGCCCCAACAGCTGGCAGCTACATAAAAAACAGAAGCAGAAAAGCGAGTGCGCTCATTTGCTTCTAATCGCGCTATGCATAATTTCATAACGACTTTTCCAGCCGACGTTGCGTGAGCGTGATTTAACTGAACTTCTCACGTAAAAGAACAAGGGTAACGGCAGCTTTATGACTCCACACCTCCCGTTGATGAGCAATCATTTAAAAACGCGGGCTCGTCAACGGTGAAATGATCACACCCTTTCGCGCCCGTCACAGTTCGCTTTCCGCAGTTTGCTGATGTCTGCCTGTGAGCGGTGGGAACTGCTCGGCTTTATCGCAGTCATCGGGCGCACGCGAACATTTAGTAGTAACGGCCGATGTTTGGACGTAACGCAACCGCGTGGTACACAGCCCGCACGAGTCTGCCGTTTTCCTGAATGGGAGGCTGCACATCAGTAGTAATACAGTTTTGACGGTCATGCACCATTTTTTTCTGATGGTGCGATATCGGCTGAATCTGTAGGTGCAAGAACAGTGAAGGGACAATGGCCTACCAAACCATTCGTGAAAATATGGCGTGGATTCTAGGTATGGTGATGCGTAACAGGTCCTCGCAAAGCATTGTGATGGGATGCTTTGGGTGGTAATGACATTGCTCACTCGCATCCAGTGCAGGATTTGGCTGTGCCGTGTTAACGCCTTTAGGACAACCACTACAGCCTTTGCATAACGTGACAACATTTACGTCCCTGCGTTCACTACCTATTCCTTTTCAATGCGCCTGAGACTGTACAGCGGCTATCGAACTGGGGAAGCGATCCAACCTGCTGCAGTGACGTAACAGTGATGTCACCCTTATGTGAGTGACATTGCCATATGTCATATTGCCACATTGGTTATGGTTATGCGGTATGGTTATGCTATATCGCAGCATGCGGCGGGAAGCCCATATGGGCAGCTTACATGTTGTTTTCTGAAAACGATGGCTTGCCTGGTGCACGGCCAATACCTTCTCAGCATCTTTACAATTACATAGTTCTACCATGACCATTCTGCAGGCCCTTCGCTTGCAGGTGCGGCCTCTTGTTTTTGTTTTACTTCCCCACATTCCGTCTCGAGAGCCCAAATCATGAATAAACAGGCGATGTTTGCACAACAGACCCCATCAGCCAGTCCAGCGAAAACAAGTTCCACCAGTCTGGCAAGTCAATAGCATGAGGGCGGTGCGAAATTCCAACAGCTTCTCTCACAAACAAAAGCTTCGCCTTGCAGCTATTTTGCATTCCTCTGCGACGCTCAAATGTGCGATAACGAATTTGTCGCCGGCGGCGAACTTGCTTTTGGTGAAGGGGACTGATGCGCTGTGCCTTCAACGTACCATTGACACGTATCGTCTCAGGCTGGCGTCATCAAAGTCGCGCTGATGTTCGCCTCTGTCACGGCAGGATCAAGACATCGAGTACTTCAACACCATTGTGGTGCAGCCGCATCGGAAACTGGTGACAAACCAAGGACGCGGTTACCATATTCGCTGCAAGTACCAGACCAGGGAGAAGGCCGTGGGCACGAACTTCAACGTTAGGTGAGACAGTTATCTAGCATGCTTTCGCAGGCACGAGCCAGTAGCAATGAGTTTTCTCGCTTGGCTGGCTGCATCCCTGGAAACTACTCGGAGAAAGTCAATGCATGATACCCGCATCACGCTGAGAACGCCACCCAGCGTAAGCGCATAGGCTCGGAGCAGATTAGTGCCGCGCTTAGTTGGCAAACAACGAGTGAGACCGCGACAGGACAGTGGCTGTCACCACTTGCTGCCACGTGGAGGCCCGCGCTTCCCGACCGGAGTTTTGGCTCCCTGGTGCTTATATCGAAGGCCAGCGCTCCATCACCAGGTGCACGGCGACGTGCGCCTCGTATGCCTTTACAACAAAGGAGGCGGGTCGCGGCTGACTGGGCCCGTCTCTCAAGCATGGCTTTCAGACCCCCACCGTGACGTCAGGGTGGCTGGGTCACCCGATACGACATTTTCCCGCAGTCTGGGCGACCCCGTGGCCCGACCGTGAAGTCGCCCTGCTGGCGGGCGTCCGTGGCCAGCCGTCCGTCACAAACCGCTCGCGGCTAACTGTGCCTCTCGCGCCGCGCCGTTACCCCGCGCTGGCTTTGGCGCTGGGCTTTGCGGGACCGCGCTCTGCTCTGCTACGCTTGCCGCCACTCCTGAATCAGAAACAATTAGCAAAACATGCGGCAACGGTGCGGGGCCAGCGGCGCAAGTAAAGGCTTCGCATTGTTCGCTTAGGGTGGGGCGGTAGAGCGGACGGGGGGGATCTGCAGCGAGATAGGTTGGCCGAAACGAGGGTTGGTGGGTCGGTAGGTTCTAGTGGTCTGCGGGCGGAGAGGGGAGGGGGGGGGGGGGAGGACGAGCAAGGCCGCTTCGATGCGCAATGTACAGTGAGTTGGGTGGCGCACGCAAGACGGGAGTAAACTGCTTGCTTGGGATGACCAACCGACCGTCCAGCCTGAGCTGCTCCCGTCAGCAGTACGGACATAAAGCCTATCTGATGGGTCGGGCGGGCCACAGAGGAGCGATAACAAAAGGGCCGTCGCCGAGCCCGGCTCGCAGCCCGCACGTCCCGCCTCCGATGGGCCCGATACTCGCGGCCGGCGCGAGGTCAGCTGACACGGCGGCCCGCTGCGCACCGCGCTGTGGTCGGCTGCAGTCGGCCAGGGTGCATGTGACCTGCACTGATGCCGGCTGCAGTCGGTCAGGATGCACGGCTGCAGTCTGCACGGCCCGGCCGTGGGTCGGTCGCTGTCGACTGTAGCTGCTCTGTCGGGCTGGACTCCGGTCGGCAGCAGTCTGTCGGGTCTGGCTGCGGCTGGCTGTGATGGCTCCCCTCTGGCTGGCTGGGCTGTGGTCGGCAGCAGTCTGTCGGGTCTGGCTGCGGCTGGCTGTGATGACTCCCCTCTGGCTGGCTGGTCTGTGGTCGGCTGCAGCCCGGTGGACTGGACTATGTTCGGTTCCGGTCCCGCAGGCCGGCCTGTGTTCGGCTCCAGCTGTCAGACCGCTGTCGGCCGGCCGGGCGGAGCCGGTGGGCCGCCGCGGTGACGCGCCGGGCCGGGGCCACCGCCGTGCTGACGGGCCGGGGCCGGGTCGGCCGGGGCGGAGGTGGATGACCGCCAGCCGGTCCGGGATGCCACTTCTTCGGGCGACCCACCCTGGCGCTGGCAGTGTCGCCGGGCCGCGACGCGGCGAGCTACGAATGGAATTTGTGGACTGCGCCGACTAACGTGGCGACGGGACTCGATGACTCACGCGGGGTTTGTGCCAAGGCAGGGACGCGATCAATACGCGACGAAGCGCCGGTAATGTCGTGACGAAATAGTCATCTAACTGTAACAGATCCGACTTCCCTTGCCAGTTAGCGGTAAAAAACGCATGCTGGGGGGACTAATGCGTTATCAGGTTTGCAACACCAACGGGAATCCGCCGCCTGTCGACACAAACATCCCTCGCTCCGAAACGCATCCGCTCTTCATCCTGTTTGCGAGCGTAGGCTTCATTAGCTTAGAGCAGCAGCAGCGCGCACGTGCCCTCACCAGCCTCCGCTGAGCACCGCCGCCTCGCTTACCGCACCGCCAAATCGGGCGATCCAAGGGTGCCGGGCGGGCGACGCTGCCGGGCTGGCGGCTGTGATGCAAGCCCGTGCAGGGCTGGGGCCAGCGCGGCGACCCGGCCGGACCGTCCTTGGGTGGCGGGCCGGGGCCAGCGCCCACCTGACATGACATGACATCCTCTCCCGACAGCGGCGAGTTTCCAGAGCTGCGCGATGGAGCGAGGTACGTGGCGGCGGCGGCCACCGGACGCGCGGTGACCCGTGCTCCGGCGCGCATGACCGGCCCGTGACTAACCAACTTACGCACGGCTGTGTTTCAGTCACGAGCGAGAGGCGCCGCCGCCCCTGTAGCGCCGCCGGACGCCGCCGTCTGGTGGCCGGCGGAAGCTGTCGTCACCGTGTTTGTGTTGCTTGACTTCTTGGTGGGCTGTACACGGTTTCCGGAGCGTTGCTGCAGCAGCGGGTGGTGCTCGGATGGCCTCGACAGGGCTTCAGAGGTTGACTCTTCCTAATCTGTCTCTGTGTGGAAGGGCCCCTGAAACCCGGGCGTGCGTCCTTGCCGGCCCTCCAAATAAGGATGGCGCGATGCGTCCTGTACTCTCGAGTCATGACAGCGGGGAGGGTGCCATGAGCTGAGAGCCAAATGCCTTTGCTGCAGCTGCCTGGGTAATAACGCGTCAACGTATGGAAGTTCAACCTTGCTTGGGCACACTGGGCGAGTCCCATTTGACACTGTTTGTGTAAAAGCAATATAGAGTCAGAGTTACGTTAACAGTGCAGCATTTATAAATCCATTTCTTTTGATCGGTCCAAAGCAGCGCTCTCTGAAAGGCGGTCTGCGCCAGTCGGCCGTCCTTCTGCGACCCGCCCAGTCGCGCTTTGCTGATAACGGGGAGTCGCGCTGTCCCCGACCGTCCCGTCGGACCAGCCAGGGTCAGCGCCGGCCGGCTCGACGGCATCCACGCCCCGCCACCGCGGCGATGACTCACCGTCACCAGACTGCCGCGGTCGGAGGGGCCATCTGTTTCCTGCACCAGCCGTGAATGTTGTCCAAGTCCGTGTTGTATGTATCACATCTGGCATGATCCGGAGGTGTGGCGGGGTGCTCCATGTGCTCCTAACCCATTAACAACCGCCGGCACCTTTTGGTGTGCAGAATGTTACCGCTGCTCCATAAACCTGCCGTTTTGATTCGACTGTAACCGCTCAGCTGCAGAAGTGCACCAGTGCTGTAACTGGCCGTGACGCCTGCAGTGGTGTCTAGCTCGCGCGCGACCCCGGCCGTCTACGCCACCGGCGTCTCCGTCTGACCGGTGTGGCGCCGCCGTTGCAGCCAGCTGGGCACCACTCCGCTGACAGCCACCGCCCCCATGCCGAGCTGCACCATGCGCATCTACTCCAACTCCGAGGAGAAGACGGTGGCAGAGAACGTCAAGATCGGCGACCCGCTGACGCTGGACATCGCCATCGACGATCAGGACATCTACGGCCTGAAGGCGGTCGACTGTATCGTGCGCGACGGGCTCGGCTGGGGCGAACAGCCCCTCATCAACAAGGAGGGGTGAGTGCCGCGTGAGATGGCCCGTCAGTACGACACCGCGTGTTACCACGCGTGTCTCGTCGTTGAAATCAGCGGTTCCAGGCGACAAAGCTGTGGGACTGTGGGGACTGCAGATTTGCATCCACAAATAGCCAAGAATGTAAGAATGTCGGAAAGCTGGGAGATCAGCATCATCCTTAAAGTCCATTTTTTCAGCTCATCACCCTAGAGCCAACATCACATTTCACAGCAAAGGATGACAGGAAGGTGAGCGCCTACGGACCCATACTCCTGTACCGATGCCAGTAATTGCCTGTACTTACATGGAGCTTTAAGAATGCGTCATTGCATTATCAAAGCGTTTTTCTATCTCGTTTTCTGAGTGGACCTCGCTGTCCAGCATCTGATACACTTTTCCGAATTCGTCATTCGTAATGGGAAAATCCTTCCAAGTGAAAATGAAGCACATGATCCTCTACTTGCCTGTCATTTCCAAGACTGGTATTTGGTTCATCAAACACGCTTGTTGCTAGTGCTCCTACGCTAGAAGCGTCCTGCGTGTCAAAAATACCCGACCGTCCTTCAGCACCGCACGCCATGCAGACATGATTCCGCGTCCCCTGGAACGCCCCATCCAGTCCTGCAGTCGCGCTTCCGTGAACTGCAGTGAGATGGCTCACCGGACTGGCTCCAGTGCAGCCGACAGGTCTGCATCTGCGTCAGCAGCTGGGAGGCAGCACCGACGGGCCCATGCGACGCGCGGGATAGGAACATGGGACGTGCGAGACGGGTCCGAGGAGAGCGAGCCAGGTCCGGGGAGTACAAGACGGGTCTGGGGAGTACAAGACGGGTCCTGGGAGTGCAAGACGGGTCCGGGGAAGTGCGAGACGGGTCTGGGGAAGTGCGAGGTGGATTCAAGGGATACCCGAGGTGAGAACGCCCTAACATTTTAACCGGACTGGTAGTATATCTATGCAGCTCATAGCTCCTCAAAAGAAGTTATGACATTGTGAATGAGCTCCGATAGACAGCAATATGTTGATAGAACGGTGAATAGCCGCAAAATTAATCAATAACTGTAGATTCAGGATTAACACTACCCTGCGTGAGATGTGAATCAGGTCGTAGAAAAAGGTGACAGGCGTTTACGTTTTACCCGTTCTTTTTATCACTTTTCTTTTTCAATCGCTCGAGGCAGATGTTTGGTCTATTTTTACTGCCTTTCACGATGTTCTGGTGATCCAGTGATAAAACGAGGGGAACAACCTAGCATGAATGTCATAAAAAGATGAGCAGGTGGTAACTGACAGACACGCAGCTGCTGAAAAAACCACAACAAGGCAGCAAAGGCAAAAAGCAGGCCGCTATTCAAGCATAATCTCTATGTTCCTCTTACTGAATTAAGACGTGATATATGTCGATGCTTGATATCATGACACCTGTACATATGGCTTTACTACAGGTATCCGACAAACTGTATCCCAAGCTCAACTAAACATTCGGTGTTTTTGCATTCAAAAGTTTTGAAACGTCTCCAGGTGATGTGAATGATCTGCAGCGAATCGCCGAATCCTGCAGATCGGTGCGCCTGATTGACGCCCGTTGCAGCCGCGGGTCAATTTGTGGTGCGCCCGGGCAAGAGTTCCGGAACCCCGGCATGTGACCGGAGCACCCCGGTCAGACTGGGCGCGTGCATTGGCCGGCGCAGTCACGGGGTATGCCGCTGACTCACGGTGGTCGGAGGCGGCCGGCTCCGGAAACATCGCGCCGCTCCCCATCCCAGACCCGGCAGGGGGGATGAGACTTCATCCACCCAGTGGAGGGCGGTGAGGTGGGTGGCTCGCGCGCCCACAGCTAACAGCTGCTCCACCCGTGGGGGGAGGGGATGTACCCCGCGCCAACGGCAGCAGTAGCGAGGGGGACGGCTCCACCACGCAGCTTCTGAGAGACCTTGACGTCACTGAAGGTCATCGGGATGGGATTACTGGAGACGACTCAGCACTGCCGCATGCCCAGCGACACATCTGGGAACATTTTACGTCGTTCCTCGGTTTAGCGGACGTTGAAGGTTAAGGAATGTTCTCGGAAGAGGATGGGGTAGATTAAAAGGCTCAAACACAGACATCTCGCGGAAACGGTGGTCATCTCCAGTCATTCATGACGGAGTAAAGGATGTCCCAGGCGAAACTAATCTTAAATCAGTAGTCAGGCAGGCGAATCATGTGGCATTAAGCCTTGTGCGTCGCTGCAGATGGAAGACAATATATTTTGATTTGGGCGCTCACAGAAGGCCTGCACAAAGTTGAAAAAAACATCGAGCCACACCAGATTGCCACGTTATGGATTACGAAACAGCGCAGGAACTTTTCTGAAAATTTTGAGTTGAGGGGAGGGAAAATGCCTACGACATGATCGATCTTCGACACCGGTCATGACTCGGACGTGGGCTCGGCTGTCCTTCGCCAAAATTCCGAATTTTCTTCGGACTTACGCTACACTATTTTTGCGTTCAGTTGAAAATTACAACGTAAATGTAGTAAATTGGTTGCAATATATGACGGGGTGAGAGCGCGGCTAACACAGCTGTACGCAGGCAGAGCAGAGGAGAGAGGGGGATATCTGTTCATTGGAGATGGGAATTTCACCGACTGAAAAGACAGTTCCCTGACATAACATGACCCTGAGACATTGTCTGATCAGTGGCTGCGCCATTATAATTCGAGCCTACTTTGACCAGTGCGCCTTTCCTGTCGGTGCAGGGCACGTTGTGGCACCCGGTTCCGAGACAGCGGTCGGCAGGTGTCCGGGGGCCGGCGGCCGGCGGCCGGCGGGGAGAGAGGGCGGGCTGCCGCGGGAGGGAGAGTGGGGAGCTCAGGGCGGGCGCCGCGCCGCCTCTGACCTTGGCCGGCGCTGTGCGGGCGGCCGGGCCTGAGACGGCCGGCCCGGTCCAGCCGTGTCGTGCCCGGTCCCGTTAGCGGACCTGCAACCGGCCGGACTGAAGCGGCGCAAACCGCTGGTCCGCACCGTCGGACCGGACGTCGACGCCGGGCGGCGGCACGCCGGGGCGCATCCCCAACGAAATGTTGAATGGGGTGGGGTGGGGTGGGTGGGAACATGTCATAAACACGTTTCATATTAGCTGGCCGCCGGTGTATCGACTAAGGCGCGTCGTTTGGTGCACATTTTGTTGTGCTTTAAGCGAGCAAAGATGTTTTTTAGCGTGTCTGTGGCCACCAACGGACAAGTATTGCATTTTATTGATCCGTGGGTCACGATGCTCTTAACCTGATGCCGGTAACCACATGCTCCATATATGTTAACCTTTGGTAAATCGGCTGCTCTAAGTCGAATGACATGCTTTTGTGTTGCAATCTCACCCGGAAAATATTGTTTAGTATGTCAGCAGTCAAAACGGATAAAGTCTGCTTTTTGCGTTCCACCGCAGTGGGTCAAGATATATAAATTCTGCATTTGCCTGCACGTTTTCCCCGGGAAATTGAAAACAGCGCGTCGATCAGTGCACTTCGTACAGGGAACCATGTAAGAAAAGCTTTTTGGCAAGTCAGCAGCCAAAGACGAACGGCTTCAACTTGTTGACCCGCCGGTTGTGACGTTCATGACCCACGTTTTCCATAGTTGTTTTGCTTCGGTGTATACACTTTTTTGCAAGTGCGGCACGGAAAGATGACTTTTGAGCTTGCCAGCATCTTAGTACTTCCCTAAAAATAAGATACTTGATTACCCTACCATTCGCTTTTAAAATAGGCCCTTATATCTATGGGCCTATGGGTATGGGTTGAAGTGACTCCCCTCGGCTCATGCCACCTCCGATGCTGCTTGGAACGCTTGGGGAATTGAGTTCCGCTGTCGAACGAGGGGGGACCCGGCTCTAAGGAAACGGAGAACAGAGAGAGAGAGAGAGAGAGGGGAACGGAGTAACCCCGTTAGTGAACACGGGTCGCTTGCCGATAAGCGCCCCGTGAGCCGAAAAGGACATAGCCATGGCCCTGAAATGTCAGTCGAGTGCCAGTCACGCACAGTTCAATGCACATTGTGTAGGTGCATGACTGTGCTGCGCGGATGCCTGGCTGGAGTAAGCACGGCGCACGTCTAGCATGGGGGGCGCTTTGCCCACCGGCCGCCAGTTGATCTGTAAAAAATCCGCCGCCGTAATCCTGTCTCCAGCTGCTTGACCGCACACCCGAGCGAGACAACTCCGGCGAAAGTGCAAAAGCGGCGCTACATCCTCGTCGACGAAACGAACGTAGTAGTGCCGCATTGTGAACTGTAAAGCTACCGTATGCAAGGGACAAACCAGACAGCAATGCACGACTTCAATGGGCTACTATTGCCATCACAGGGTCTGTGTCCCGAAGTCCGCACCTTGAGGTCTTCAACAGACTAAGCTTCTCCGTGACGTCCTCAGGGCATGTGCTAATTTTCCCGCGCTGGGGGTCCGCGTTCAGTGCCACTAGTAGAGGCCCCTGACCAACAGTGATCAGGCTCGTTACAGTCTCAAGAGGCTCCAAATGGCGTAAATGGCCGTCTGAATAACATTCAGGAGGCCTGGCCCTGTCCTAGCTTGGCTAATGAACACACCGGTCCGCACGGTCCGCATGCTCGGTATCTGCTGGGGCCCTTTATTTAGTGCCAGGGGGTCTAACCCACAGAGTGGCCCTGTCATTGTCTCAGAATCACTACAGTGACGTTGGAAACTCCACGATAAACATCCCTGAGCTCTGGCTCTATCTTTCTTTGGTTGGTGGGCCCCTGTTTGGCACAGGGTCCTCTGTCCGGTCTGGTACTGGGGCTTCTGCTCAGTAACTCTCGGACTTTCAAGCCGAGAGAAAGAGAGAAGCTCCCTCTTTTTCTTGGAGACCTCCGAGGGACGCAAGAGCATGCTCTATGGCTGGCATGCGAGGGCCATGGCTTTGTATTTGTCCAGCTAATTGGACCCACAGCCAGCATGGACCCCTGTCAAGCATCAGTGCTAGACCTCTGGCCCCTCGATTCTTCAAAGGTTCCGGGCAAGGCCAAATGAAGCTACCTGATTAACATTCTGGGACTTTGGCTTTGTCTCTGTTCCACAGATGGGACACCGACTGGTACTGAACGGTGTCCCGTGCCGGAGCCCCCGACCAAAAGAAGGACCCTTTGATGTTCCATACTTGACCGGCAAGTCCTCTCTGTCGGTCCGAAGGGCCGTCCGAGGTGCCCCCGGGTCATCGATATTGGGGAGAGGCACTACAGCGCCCCCCCCCCCCCCCCCCCACCCACCTTGCATGCCTTCCTGGAGGACGTTAAGTGCAGAGCGCCGAGAGAGGCGCCCCTGCCTCAGCGGGGCGGGCCGGGCTGGTTTGCAGACTGCAGAGGCTGTCTGCCCGTCTTATGCACGAGACAGACAGGTTGCAGAGAGACTGAGCGTATGCTCCGGCCGCCTCTAAGCGCCCCAGGCACCGTCGTGCCGCGCTGTCTCGGCGCCCCACACGCCTGGGACGACTCTCCGGAAACTCCGCAGCACCGAGCCTTCGTGCCGTGTTCCTGGGTCGCCATCGCTATTTCTGCGACGAGACAAACTCCCTGTCACGAGGGAGTCAGCCATCCGTGGTGTCTCGAGCCGACGCGCCCCGCAGCCAGCCGTGGCGCCCGTAGCGCGCCGGACGACGCCGACGCGGTCACCAGCCGGCCGGAAAGCCCTTCCTCGGCACAACGAGCGCGCCTGAGCCTGAGCCTGAGCGTGATCTGGCAGTGAACGCTCGGGGGACATCCTGCCTGCTGTCTCAGCCGGCAGCAGTGCGAGTGATAAGACTGCCTCTCCGACGTTTCGACTGTCCCAAATTTGAATTCGCTTCCAGTCAAACAAATTGCGGAAGCACAATTGGATTTCAACCGGAGGACAGCATGGTTGCAGCCGCAAACACACACACACACACATTATATATATATATATATGTATATATATATATATATATATATATATATATATATGCATATATATATATATATATATATATATATATATATATATATATATATATATGCGTATGTACAGGCTAGGATGAAACCGACATCTGCCGACGTTATTGCTTTTGGTGCAAATCGGTGATTACTTACACCTACACGCTTATCTACCACCACATTTTTCATTGAGACACAAGGTGGGAGTGCGATAGGCAAGTCGCGTCGTATCACTGTCATAAGCTTGCCTTAGCTTTCCAGGTAGATCATTATTTTAAAAGAATAACTAAATCGCGCTGACAATGACAAGGTTTCAATGCGAATGCAAGAGACGAAAGGCTTCCGATGAGGTTGTCAAAGTCAAAGGATCAAGCAAGGTCGAATCGCTACAACTACACGCGGAGCATCGGGGTTGAATGAATGCTATATGTTATAATCCACTGCGGACGATGGTCTTGCCTCGAGCTGACACAGGGAGTCAAAAGCATGCCACAGAAGATATAAACTTCTATGCATAACCTTAAATCAAATTCTGTAAGACTGACTTCAAAAATCTAGATTGGCTGGTCTCAGAAAAATAGCGTCCAGCGGAAGAAAGAGAGAGAGAGAGAGAGAGAGAGAGAGAGAGAGAGAGAGAGAGAGAGAAGTAGAGAGAGGTAGAGAGAGAGAGAGAGAGAGAGAGAGAGAGAGAGAGAGAGAGAGAGAGAGAGAGAGAGAGAGAGGCGGAGGGAGCGAGATGAGAGAGAGAGAGCGAGAGAGGGTGGAGAGGAGAGGAGAGAGGGGAGCTGGCCTTCCAGAATATGCCTCTGTCCTGTCGTCATGCGACCGACCATCAATGCGGTCCTGGCCGGCCAATGATTTGTCTGACGGCCAGCATTGTACTCGGTGCGAGGCTGGTTCAGTGTCGGCCACATTTTATGCTGAACTCCTCGTGAGGGAACAGCAATGTTTTGGTCCCGGGTTTTGCAACTGAGTTTGGCCCGGGTCAGCGAGATGCACATCAAAAGTGTGAAAGTGTGCTTTTCAACTTGGTTTTGTATGCAGAAGTCTCAACATCCGTGACCTGGGCTGGCCTTCTTCGACCTCCCCTACCCTCCCAGCCTCCTTCGACCTTCCTCACCCACCCAACCTCCTTCGACCTCCCCCCACCCTCCCAGTCCATTGAATGTGATATGTATCGCAGAAGCGAGGGCAGGATCATTACGCCTCCGAGCACAAGCTGCCTCACAGAGTCGGCCCACTAAACGACTGATTGAGAGAGACCATACAGTGTGGACCACAAGGACAGGCGGCTGTAGTGTTACAGCAACTGATTGCCTATGTTCTCCGCAACAAAAATCCCAGACAAAGACCCCGATACATACTTGTCTGACTTGCACATTCATAGAGGCTCATTCGCCAGCTGTTGGCGCTAAAATCTTGCTAGTATATCTGTGATGATTGCACTGTGGGAAAAAGAGACCCGCCATTTGACTGAATGTGTCGCCTCCTTCCTCAGCTGCCCAGTCGACTATGAGATTATGGGGCCGTTCACCTACAGCGAGAGCAAGACCAGCGCCAAGGTCAACTTCCAGGCGCACAAGTTTCCCTACACGGCGTCGGTTTACTACCAGTGCAACGTTCGGCTGTGTTTGAAGCACACTGGAGGATGCGACGATGTGGTAAGTTGTCTCGCAAATTCCAGATTGGTCATCGAAAATTGCCTCTCGTGAAAATTGTATAATTTTCTGGCTAAAGGTGACCCATATGAATCCTCACCGTTGTGGGTATAGTGTGTTGCTCCAGAAAAATAGATATTCTGCCAAATGTAATAAAACAGACAGTGCGAAATCACTCAGCTCGTGCGCCCAACTCTAAAGGCATGAATAACGCGCCATGCAGTGGCTATGTAGCAGATGCAACCGTCTCAGGATGTTGTTGTTTTTAGAGCGTGGTGGCACCATCGCTGAGCTTGGCTTGACATAGCGGCTGTAGATCCCCTGCTCGTGGATCATCTTCAGCCAGATCAGCCCCGTGGTCGCTGCCTCATGACCCTACCGGCGGAGCGCCTCCAGCTGCGTCTGACCTGCAGAATCGACGCTCCCTCCCTACCGCACTGCCCCTGTTTCAGCCCCCCGTCTGCGCGGACGGCACGAACCTGCGCCGCCGCCGCCGCGCCGTGGAGAACGCCACCGTCACCGACCTGGAGACGGACGAGGAGCCCGTCATAGAGGTGTTCAGCGGCCTCTACGTCAACGAGGGCGAGGAGCTGCCCGAGGACGACCCCGCCAACCGGCCGTCGCGGGTGCGTGGCAGGCGAGACCGCTGGCCAGCGTGCGGCACGCTCGAGCACTGCATTGCTGCGCTATCTCGGCTGCAGACGTGTTATTCGGATGCGTGTGCAAAACGGTATAAGGCTGCTTGTTAAGAGTCGAGAAAACGTGCAGCAAGGTGCACAATATCTCCGCTTACAGTTAGCACCATTCCCACGAAATGGCAACCTACCGTTTACGTTTGAAGGCATTTTGAAGCGTTTTAAAATGGAGGGTATGAGCCAGCGGTGCGTTGAGTTTCTATAGAGATAGGCGTCATGACGTCACTGCACTACTCAATATGCGTCGTATAGAAAGTCGATGGTAACGGTTGCTAGGACAAGATCATGGTGGGTTCCGGCAACGAACCACAGAGCCTACACAACACGGACCACACCACTTACGATAGCGGTGATGGAGTAACGCCTCCGTGCATTTCAGTAACAACGAACACTTGTTCTACACATGCCGATCATAAGGTTCAGAACAACACACCCCCACGCTCCGGCAACACACGCACCAGGCATTCAAGCTCGGTTTTTGTTACAGCGCGGCAGCATTTACGTGTAGCCAACCTCCAGCGAAGAGCACAAAAACGAGTGTCGGGAGGATTACCCCTATTTGTGTGCGTGCGCATGCGTGCTTGTCCTGACGGGCAGCCATGATAATGGTAATTTAGAGCTGAAGCGGACGGGATCCAGCGGTGGTAACGGCTGCGTGCTCGTGGGGCCAGCCGTGTGGATAGGAGAGTTAATCTCGATATCATCATTCAAACACGGACTATAAATTATCAAACATGATGACGCTAAGATAAAAACAGCCAGGTGTGTGATCACACGTCTCACAAAGCATCTCTCGCATGCCAGTTACGTCGAGCCGAATCATGGCAGCAAACATGCTCGTGAATAGGCCTTCACACGATATCGTCCTGCCGCTTTAAGCGCTCACTCCATGCGGCACATCTCAGTTTTGGATGGGTCAGGACGGATCATCTCGGTTATGGGCCGCATCCTGACTCTCGGACAGTCAGGAACTTTACCACTGAAGGTGGGGGTAGTATGTGTGTAGGGGAGAGGGGGGGGGGGGGGGGCGATAGCGAGACCTTCTGCCTCAACCGGGATTTGGCGCGATACGATTTTCGCGTTGTAAGCGACAGACGCCCTAAAAAAACCCTTGTTGTTCCATCGTGAGGGTGCGCTGACTTCTCTGTCACTTGTCCCGGCTCCGGCAGAGAGACCTGGATGATGACGACATCCTCTGCATCTCACCGCGGACGTTCGCCATCGCCATCGCCATCGTCGGCCTGCTGCTGATGATCGCCGTCGTCGTGGCCATCATGGTCATCATCAGCCGCCGCCGCCGCCGCAAGGATCTCTCCACCACGGGCAGCTCCATCTACTCCGGCCCCTACACTAACACCGCTTACTCGCACTCCAGCTGAGCGGCGCGGTCGGCGGACGTAACGCCATCTATACAAGTGGCTGGCGTCGTCTATATAGATGGCGCTAGTGCGGAAGACTGCCGCGCAGGTGGCATCAGTGTGACGGGCGGCGGCGCGCTGTTCGCGTCGACCTCCGAAGCGTGCGTGGATGCCCGCTCTCGTCTGCGTGTCGTGTCTCTTGAATAACGGAGCCCAGACAGGGGTTCAACGTCGGCGTGGGTGTCACGTCACGTGCCCTGCGCCGGTCGTTTGTCGTCAACCGGTGGCTGGCCTGCGCGGACTGGCCACTGGCTGACGCACGCGAACGGTCATCTCTTCCGTGTGTGGATGGGGTGCGTTTGCTCCCAGCTGGGCTCCCTCGTTCTCGAGACACCGCTGAATGTCCTGACGAAGTGCCGCTGTTGTGAGTTGGCGGTTGTGCCGGCAGGTCGGACCTGCGCTTGCTCTCTGGCCGGCGATACTCATGGCGGTGAACAGGGACAATGGCCTCTGCCATCGAATGACAGTGAAACTGTTAAATTGCGTTGGATAAGTTCGATGATGCGTACGTAATGGGGAATATGTGTGATGAAAGGCGCTACAGTATTTAGCCACTGCTGGAATGACCGAAATACAATTTTTGGTGGCATTTAATCATATTCTTTCGCCCCTAAATATCTCAAGGACGATTGCGGGACGTCGTCTGCTAAATCAGACACTGTTACTGTTCTCATGTTCTTTGTTTACGCATGTACGCCAAAGAACGGGCATCGAAGAGCGAAAGAACATTCGCCGCTCCTGTAGTTGTCTCACTGTAGATATTCATTTGCCTAATATGTTGAATAAACGATTTGCCCTTTTGTAGGTAACTCCTTGTTTTCCTGTAGACGCCGAGATGGGGTGCAAGTAATCCACACGGCTGCGTAGATGTCTGCGAGGAGTTGGAGGTTGCATGCTGTGTTGCGTTATCGGTAGGCGTACGTGGTTTTGATTTCACAAAGACACATTGGCTTAATCGTAACTATGCGAGACGTGATCAGGAGGATAAACTGTGACCACATGATTCCCGGTCGTTAAGGTAATTCCAAGACACGTCTGGCTCGCATTCCATTTCTGATTGTGTAACACTTACGAGGGGAATGCATATGTCTGAAATACATTTTTGCAAAATGAATGCACGCAAACTCAGTGACTATTCTCTCTTCTCTCGATTATCGATATACATCCCTTTCACCCGTATAAAAACGGCATAAGCATGATCCACGATCGTATTGAGTTTCACACTGGTAAGTGCGAGATTGACTGCGAGTTAATACAAATACGAGCATTTATTAGTCAGACTGCTGCGTTTCGTTCTGAGATGCTCTCAGAGGAGCCAACTCAACGCTGGGCGAAAACGGGCAAAAACTCGATTCTGCAGGAATGGTTGGCCTCTGCCGCCAACCGCTGAGGCATTTTCAGCTGTTAGAGCATTCGTCGGCCACATCTTTGATGCTACAGTCACACATACTAAAAATCCTATATTCCATCAACAACGAGAAGATGGAGCCAGCTACCGCTCGAGGTGTCATCCCTCCAGTCTTCTCGTTCCTTCAAAGAGGAAATACACCAGCGCTGCAGTGTGGCCGCACCTCCGGCGTATCCCAGCTTTGGATCCAGGCATGACACATCCTTAATACTAGGCTGAGATTGGGAATGTCAAACCTTAATGCCCACACGTTCAAAACTCAAAGTTCAGCTAGACCTAGCCCTTCTTGCTTGTGTGGCTATCCATATGAAAACCCTCATCACTTTGTATTGAACTGTCCTCGCTATCATAAAATCCGGATTTCAATGCCACGTAAAACAGGTCGCATCATTCCAAACCTTCTGAGCTCACTCGCAACGAGAAACTAAACATCTATCTCAGGGGTAACCGTTCACAAGATCGCGATGGGCAGCACATAGCAAAAACTTCCAAACATTTATTTTTCAGACAGAACGATTCGCCCAAAAACTTCCAGCGGGTGCGGGCAGCGGACGGGCCACTAGGTGGCGTTGCCGGAGCGGGCGGCCGCCGCCAGCCCGAGACGGCTATATGTGTAGACCGGAGCGGCGGCGGGCGCCTGGCCCGGGTCCACTTACAGATCGGACGAGTGGGCGGTGGGTCGTGGGTTCCCTGGCGGCGATGACCATATCTTGTTATTGTTAGGAGAGGCGCTCAAATATAAGCGTTCCGCTTGTGCGCCAATCCGCTCATCATATTATGTGCTGCTTCGTGTCCATAATCAAAAATAAACATCAAACATCAAACACATATTGAAGGGGTGGCTACAACAGGCGACAGAGTCGGATCGAGGACATGGGTATAAGCGAACGACTCAAATCTGAGCGATTTTCAACAGGTTGTTCATTAACATCACCGAGGAAATGGTGTTCCAGCAGAATTTGAGCGCAGGTAAAAGTCGTAGTCTGCCAAGTACCGAAATATGGGCAAAGGAGAAAGGTCTAATTTGTGCAAAAACGCTGTACCAAATACACACATTGCCACGCAAAACTACCTTCACAGACATCCCACCACTGATCTGGGCCATTGCCAGACGCCAATACAACTATCACGATATGAAGGACAGGAGCTATTTGCAATGTAGCATTTTAATCAATAATATGATGACGCAGTGCGCGGCGCTGTTGAGTTCGGCGCGAAGTCTCCTGGTGTCGCCACCAGGGGCAACAAGAGCCGCGATCGGTCCGGCCGTTAGGTGGCGGTCGGGGATGTGCTTCGGTGTTGCAGCCGCCAGGCGGCGTCCAGGGCTGTAGCCTGACAACAGGGCGCTCTGTACCGCGGTCGCTCCGGGGTGGGTCGCAGGGCACTGGACCGAGGAGGGCTGCGGTCCTTTTGAGTGGAGCATATTCTGGGCATTTGGGGAATTTCTGCGCATTTCAAATGGACATCTTTCACTGCACTTTACTTTGTTTAGAGTTAATAACCGCCGTAGAAGCGGCGTGTCTCTCAAGTTGAAATGTGCTCTCGGTCTTCGTGGTAAAATGCCTTTTTACAACAACGTCCGGAGTTATTATTTGATTTTCATTGCAATGCACACCCGTGAGAATGGTGTGCACCTTACGGCGTACAATACAGATTTGTGTCGAACACGATGGTGAGGCTGCTATAGCTACATTCTGATTTTTATCTTACCCGTCCGTCCGTCATGCACAAATACAGTCACAGCTCACTAGCGGCACCAGCCGGCCACGAGAAATCTAGCTTTGGGCAAGATAACAAGACGCATGTACGTAAGGCAAATGTACGCATTGCAAAAATCGCACGCAAATGCTCGCAAGCTAGCCGAATATCTTTGCAACGAGGTGTTGAAAAATGCCAAGCTATATTATTGTAAATGCTCGCATCGAAGACGGTCGTATTGCTGGAGTAAGTATATAAAAACACATATAGCATATGCTGACAACGAAAGCTAAAAAGCACATACTTGGTAGAACAATTTGTTAGACAAATCGGGTAAGCCCACACTTTGTAGAGTGATCGTCACATACTGCGCATATGACGATCTAGCGGCTGTTGGTATGCGCAGAGTTACGTAAGGTCATCTGGCTTGCGGGTGCGTGCATATTTGTAAAAGCAATGATAATTCAGTTGTTCACACTACCAGGCTGGTACAGCAGATGTTGGCATATGTAGGTAAAAAACACACAACACACGCACACACAGAGTAAGACGGCAGGCAAACCACTCACTACTTACTTGACAGGTCAGAGGACCTTATCCAGGGTTATGACCCAGTTCAGGCGTTTAGTGGCGACCACGGACAAACTGACCCAGCGGGGCCATAAAGATGTTTCGAACATCTGACCTACTGGCTGCCAGAAGGTCTAATGCAATGAGATTGTATACATGTTGGATATGCACATGTATTCTGGCAATGATGCCACTTACCGCTACTTCGCTTCCATGCAATACCTTAACAATGCTGTTCTCACTGAACACAAGTCTTCGGTTGAACATCAGCTGCCGACTAGCTACCAGCATGGGACATGGAAGAAGCTCAAAGTCTTCACACAGGTCATGGTTCCTGGTTCAGCGTGACACCCTTACCAGCTTCTTTTACAGAAGTGGTAGGCCATATAAAATTCTTGAAATGCCTTCCTACCACTCATAGCGTTCCACAGCTCACGACCGTACATGTTAGCACAATATGCTTCGAACTGTTGAATCAAAACGTTCCTGTTTGCGAAGACGACCCAAGCACGTCGCATATTTCTGCTTTTTTACAAGGAACGTTTCACTCCACGCGTATCTTGACTGTCACTGAGATCACTGTCCACTGCATGTCCTAGATATTTAAACTTCTCCACCCATGCAAGTCTGAAGCCATTAACACGTGCTCGAGTGGGGGTGACATTGACCCCGAGGGTTTTTCCAGAATGGTTTCCGAACGATTTCCAAATTTTGCATAGCTGTAGACAAATGAATGGCGGGTCGCGTGCTATCAAAAAATGGGATGTACCTTAAAGGTTGCTGACCTACGGCAGGTCAAAGCCAGGCCATTGATTCAGCGAAATCAATTTCAGGGAAATCGCTCGATCTGATGGAACAGCGCAGTGTTGGACAAAGCCATACATCTCTGAGTTCCTTTCTGGGCAATATGATAATTGTACGCCCAAATTTTATCGACTTAAATCAGATATGAAGATCAGACCAAGGTCAACACCAACCTATTTTATTACGCTAAGGCTTGCGGTTTTTTTTTAGTTTCTGGTGCTCACTTCGAATTTATTGATAACATAAGCCGCATTCGACGTCTTCCATTGACTTATTATAGGCCATGATAGTTCACTGGCCTAAGGTGACCACGGTCAACATTTCGTTTTTATAAACATGCTGCCTAGCTTACTCTTTGTCGCGTATTCAACTTAAAACTCAAAGCACTATTCTATGATGTTGATCACCATGACCTTCGAAAGGTCAAATAAAGTCACTAACCTTGAATAAGCATGTGCTCTTTTTTCCAAGAACAGGTGTTTAAGCTCTAGAGATACTTCGGAGACCAACTTGGAGTTTGACCTTGTTTGACCTTATTTGACCCGAAGGTCATCACCCAGGAGGCTTAAACTTTGGCTTAAATGAGTGCACGTTACGATCAACATACTCCATAACTTTGGGGTCTCTAACCCTCTTAGTTCCTGGAATTTCGGGGGGGGGGGTCAAATTGACCTCCACCCGAGCGGAGGGTATCTAACCGGCCACCCGGGCGCGTGTTAAGAATGACATTTGGAAACTTGGAATGAGACAAGTGTAACGCTGCATATGGATTTAGAGGATTGGAAAGGATACATACACCTTTTTACATCAAACTGAATATCCTTGGACATGGCAAATGCTTCACACCTCCGAACCATCTATTCAAGCCTCCTCCTTGCGAGAGACAAAAGCACAATATTATCAGCATAGGCTAGTACATTCTCTGCACGTTTTCCGACACGGCAACCAATTGGTAGCATTAGCAAGCCACAAAGACGCTCCTCTACGTAGACATTGAGCAGCAGTGATGAGATGTTCTCTCCTTGACGCATTCCATTCTGTACAAAGAAAGGTTCAGACACTGTCTGGCCACTCAACCCACATCTTTTAGGTTCTGTACTGCCTTAGAACCATCTTAAGACATGCTGAATGAACACCACGACCTGAGATTTGCTCGGCCTGGAAAGGCTTTGGTGACGGTGAGATTAAGCAACCAATTTTGAGGCACATGTCTGCCTGCCGGTTGGTGTGTACACATTATATTCAGGTCTACAAATATCCACTATGCACGCATCATGCGTTGGCGTTTGAACATTAGCGTTCACGAACATCTGCGATATAA